CCCCGTGGAGGGGGTCTCTGCTGCTGGCAGGGCCCGAATCGCTGTATGGGACGGGCAGTGTCCATGCTTTGGGCAGGGGTTCCCTGCACGTGAGGACCAACTCGAGCCGTCTCCTGGGCGCGCTCCATATCGGTACAGCGCGCCCCAGCCTGCGCCCGGCTGGGCTTGCCTGCTGCTCCCAAGAGTCACTGCCTGCATCGCAAGGGTCCATACGCAGGGAAGACCCCCCCCAATCTGGACTTCCCCCCTCTTGGCACTCCCTGCCGGGCTGCCCCTCCCTGGCCTCACAGCAGAGCCGAGGCTCCGTTCCCAGCTCTTGGTGCGAGGCAGGGACGGGCAGCCCTGGACCTGCAAACACAGCGGCGCTGCCTGGGCAGGTCCACGTCCGCAGCAGGGCGGACGGAGATGCTTGTTGGGACCGTTCCCAGGATGAGCAAGGCTGGGCACCGCCTGAGCTGCTGGTCCAGGGCGGGGGCGCAGCACTGGGGCAGGGTGTGCAGGGAGTCCTGGAGCCTCCATCCCTGGAGCTGCTCAGAACTGTCTGGATGCGGTTGTGGGCAAGGTACTTGGTGGATCCCTGCTTCAGCAGGGGCTGGGCCAGTTGCTCTCCACAGGTCCCTATCAACGCCATTCCCTGTGCGACCCAGAGCAGCACTGGCCCAGCGGGGTGCAGACCCATGGGCAGCCGCACAGCCAGTGCCTTCCTTCATCCCACTCCAGTCTCCCCCGTGCCAAGGTCTGCAGCGCCGCTGCAATCCTGGCAGGTCGGGAGCAGAGCCTGGCTGGTGTCTGCTGTGGGTCAGCACCACAGACCCAGCCCGCTCAGCCTCTGCCGGCTGCTCCCACCTACCTGACTGGCATTCCTCCCTTCCTTCCTTCTTTCTCTCTTCTTTCCTTTTCCTTTTCCTTTTCCTTTTCCTTTTCCTTTTCCTTTTCCTTTTCCTTTTCCTTTTCCTTTTCCTTTTCCTTCCTTTCCTTTCCCTTTCCTTTCCCTTTCCTTTCCCTTTCCTTTCCCTTTCCTTTCCCTTTCCTTTCCCTTTCCTTTCCCTTTCCTTTCCCTTTCCTTTCCCTTTCCTTTCCCTTTCCTTTCCCTTTCCTTTCCCTTTCCTTTCCCTTTCCTTTCCCTTCTTTTCTTTTCTCTTTTCTTTTCTCTTTTCTTCTTTTTACTTTCCCTCTTACTTTCTGTTTACTTTCCTTTTTTTCTTCTTCTTTTCTTCTTCTTTCTTTGTTTCTTTTTCTTTTTTTCTTTTTACTTTCCTTCTTCCTGCTTTATTTTTTTCTTCTTTTTACTTTCCTTCCAATTTCCTGTTATACTTTTCTCTTTTCTTTCCTTTTTTCTTTTTCCTTTTTTTTCCCTTTCCTTTACCTCTTCTCTCTTTCATTCCTTTACCTCCTCTCTCTCTCTTTCTCTCTCTCTTTCTCTCTCTCTTTCTCTCTCTCTTTCTTTCTCTGTATTTCTCTCCCTCTCTTTCTCTCCCTCTCTCTTTCTTTCTCTCTCTTTCTCTCCCCTTCTGTCTCTCTCTCCTTCTCTCTCTCTCTCTTCCCCCCTTATTTCACATGCAACACAAAAAAAAAAAGTAGATTCCTCACCAATCCCTCCCATGCTCTTCCCTCTGCAGCAACTCTCCAGGACAGTGTGGGAAGGCAGCGGTCAAGGCACAAACAGCACAGTGAGGTGGGGATGGAGGACAAGACCGTGGTGAATGGCCACTCAGGCCCCATCACTTGCCACCAAGACAGTCCAGGAGCAGCTGCCTCCTACCAGGACATTCTGACTTGCAAGCAGAAACCAGCTGCTGGCAAGGAAGTGCCGTGGATGGGCACTGCCAGCAGGCCCCTGACAGGGGCTGGCAGCATTGCTGGAGCATATGTAGAGGCTTCAAAGAAGATAATGACCTTCTATGATTCCACCAGAGAGCATCTTCTGGGCTTGGATCCAGCACTCTGTCTCCTTGAGGCCCAGGCAGCCACTGGCTCCATCTCTGACCCTGTGAGGAGCAGGCAGGTGTCTGTCACAGAAGCTGTGAACCTGGGGCTGGTGGGGCTGGAGCTCAAAGAGAGGCTGCTCGCTGCGGAAAAAGCTGCCACTGGCTTCATGGATCCTTACACAGAAAAGAAGATCCCCCTGTACCAGGCCATGCAGAAGGACCTGATTGGGAGGGAGCAAGGCACCCGGCTGCTCGAGGCCCAGATTGCAACTGGAGGCATCATTGACCCAGACACTGGCCACCGGCTTCCAGCAGAAGTTGCCTGTGAGAGGGGATATTTAGATGAAGAAACACTGCAGCTCCTCTCTGACCCCAGCAATGAGGACAGCAAAGGGTTCCTGGACCCCAGCACCATGGAGAAAGTCACCTATCTGGAGCTTGTGAAGAGGTGTGTTACTGATCCAACCTCGGGCTACCTCCTCTTGCCTCTGAAAATCACATTCCCAGCGCTGGGAGGAAGGGTGAGCAGCAGAGAGCTGCTGGACTCCGGCATCATCAGCTCCAGTGTGTTCAGAGATCTTGAGGAGGGAAAAGTGTCTGTCCAGGAGGTAGCAGAGAATGACTCTGTCCAGCAGTTCCTGCATGGGACAAGGAGCGTGGCTGGTGTTGTTCTGCCTTCTGGTGAACGGAAGAGCCTCTACCAAGCACTGAGAGAGCATCTCCTCGTGCCTGGTGCTGCACTGATGCTCCTACAGGTCCAGGCCTCCATTGGCAGTCTGACAGACCCCATAAAGAACAAAAGTTTCTTGGTTGATGAGGCTGTCAAGACTGGTCTCGTTGGCCCAGAGCTTTATGAGAAACTGTCTTCAGCTGAGAGATCCATCACCGGGTACAGGGATCCCTGCACCGGGGAAACACTTTCCCTGTTCCAAGCCATCAGGAAGGGCTTCATCCCCAGGGACCACGGTATTTGCCTTCTGGAGGCTCAGATGGCCACGGGGGGCATCATCGCTCCAGGCAGGCACCTCCGTGTCCCCACAGACACAGCTTGCAGGTGGGGCTACCTGGACGAGGCCATGAGGCAGCTCCTCTTCAGTCCTACTGATGACATGAGAGGGTTCTTCGACCCCAGCTCCCAGGAGAAGCTTACCTACACGGAGCTGCTCAAGAGATGTGTCACCGATCCAGACACAGGGCTTCTCCTGCTGCCCCTTTGTGGAGACAGTGGAGAGGAGCCCAAGGAAAACTGCCTCTTCATTGATCGCAGAACCCAAATAGCTCTGGAAAGCACAAAGGTGCCCGTTGCTTTTGGTAAATTCAAGGGAAAGTCGGTTTCTCTCTGGAAACTCCTCTTCTCAGATTTCATGCCAAGGGAGAGAAGAGTCACTCTCACCCAGCAGTACTGTGCAGGAGCACTCTCCACGCAAGAACTCGTTAAGATGGTCAGTGCCACTGTTGAGGAAATGGCTTCCACTGCTAATGTCACCTTTGAAGGCCTGAGGGACAGGGTTACAGCTGACCAACTCCTAAGTTCTGAAATCATCAACAAAGACTTATTTAAGAAGTTGAAAGAGGGAGAAACATCAGCCAAAGAAGTTGTCAGCATGGACACAGTCAAGAAATACCTGGAAGGGACAGGAAGCATTGGTGGGTTACTACTTCCTGACTCCCAGGAGAAGATCAGCATCTACCAGGCAAAGAGGAAGGGGCTTTTAAGGCCAGGAACATCACTGATCCTCCTGGAGGCACAGGCTGCCACTGGTTTTATCATTGATCCAGCTGCCAACAAAAGGTATTCTGTGGATGAGGCTTTAAGAGCAAATGTCATTGGCCCAGATGTGTATGACAAGCTGCTGACTGCTGAGAAATCAGTCACTGGCTACAGAGATCCATACTCGGGGAACAAGATCTCCCTCTTCCAGGCCATGAAGAAGGAGTTCATAGTGAAAGAGCATGCTATCCGTCTGCTCGAGGCCCAGATTGCCACCGGCGGCATCATCGACCCTGTCAATAGCCATCGCATCCCTGTGGAGGTGGCCTACAAGCGGGGGTACTTTGACAGGAAGATTAATTTGATCCTTTCTGATCCCAGTGATGACACGAAAGGTTTCTTTGACCCCAACACACACGAGAACCTCACATACCTGCAGCTGAAGGAGAAGTGCATCACGGAGCCATCTACCGGGCTCTGCCTCCTCCCTCTGAACAGTAAGAAGCGTCAGTTCATCGATGAAGCCACCAAACGGGTGTTTGGGAACTCCTGGATGCGTGTCAGGTTTGGGCGGTTGCGGGGTGAGAGAGTTTCTGTGTGGGAGCTGCTGAACTCTGAGTACTTCAATGAGGGGAGGCGTCGAGAAATATTCAACCACTACCAGCTGAGAAAGCTCACGCTGGAGCAAATCAGGGTTTTGTTAGAGGAAGAAATGAAAAAATGGGCTCCCATTAGATTCCCGGCCATGAGAGGCAGTGTTAATGCTTATCATCTGATGGAAACGGGTGTCATAGACAGGGCCCTGTTTGAGAAGGTGTTGGAGGGATCTGTCAGCCCGGAGGAGGTCCTGCGCATGGACTCTGTAAGAAAGTACCTCTATGGCTCTGGCAGCATTGGGGGGATTGTCCTCCAGCCATCAAACCAGAGGATAAGCATTTATGAGGCCATGAAACAGAATCTCATGGTGCCAGGAATAGCCCTGCCCTTGTTGGAGGCCCAGGCTGCCACAGGTTTCATCATTGACCCAGTGAACAACCAGAAACTCTGTGTAGATGATGCTATAAAAAAAGGACTAATTGGGCCAGAAGTCCATGAGAAGCTGCAGCACGCAGAAGGGGCTGTAACAGGCTATAAGGATCCTTTCACAGGCAAGAAAATACCCCTCTTCCAGGCCATGAAGAAGGGCTTAATCGCTGACAAACAGGCTCTGCAGTTAATGGAGGTGCAGATGGCTACAGGAGGTATCATCGACCCAACATGTGGCCACTATATTCCCGTAGAATTTGCTCAGAAGCGGGGCTGTCTGGATGAGGACACAAGCAAGGCCCTTTCTAAACCCAGTGACAACATCAGAGCCTTCTGCCTCCCAGACAGCAAAGAAGCTGTGACCTATGCTGAGCTAATTCAGCACTGCCAGAAGGATGAGACCTCTGACTTCCATTTGCTGCCTCTGCCACAAACAGCTGTTCCAATTTACACTGATGAGCAAATCCAACGGCTTTTCAAGGAGACCATGGTGAAGGAAAAAGGGCTCTCCCTCTGGGAACTGATCCACTCTGGGTATTTCACTAAGGAGCAGAGGAGTGACTTTGTGGAGAAGTACCGCTCTAAGGAAATGTCTCTAGAGCAGCTCGTTGCTCTTGTCCTTAAACTCGTTAGAGAAATGGAAATGAAAGCGCATACTCACATCACCCTGGAAGGCTTGCGAGGCAGTGTCCCTGCTGTCTGGCTGCTAGATGCTGGTATCATTACTGAGAAGATCTTTGAAGAACTGGTCCAGGGCATAAGAACTCCCGAGGAAGTGTCTGCAACGGCAAGTGTGAAGAGATACCTGCAGGGCACAGGTAACATTGCTGGGGTGTTTATACAGGCATCCAAAAAGAAGATGAGCTTCTACAATGCCATGAAAAACAACCTTCTCCTCCCTGGCATAGCACTGAGGCTGCTAGAGGCTCAGGCAGCCACAGGATACCTGACTGACCCAGCAACCAACCAGAAACTCAGCGTGCAGGATGCTGTCAAGGCTGCTGTTGTTGGTGAGGAGCTCACTGAGAAACTGCTTCTAGCAGAGAGAGCAGTGACCGGCTACAAAGACCCCTACACAGGGAGCTCCATTTCTGTCTGCCAAGCACTCAGGAAAGAGCTAATCCCCCTGGGTGATGCTCTTCCCTTGCTAGAGGCCCAGCTGGCTGCAGGAGGGATCATCGATCCCGTTCACCACCATCACCTTCCACTCCAGGCTGCATACAGATATGGTTTCTACGATGAGGACCTGAACCGAACCCTCTCTCAGTTCAATGACAGCACCAGAATCTTTTTTGATCCAAACACAAAGGAGAACGTGACTTACCAGCAGCTGAAGGACAGGTGCATTCCTGAGGCCGAGACAGGCCTCTGGCTCCTACCACTGTCAGAAAATGCACTGTTCTGTGTGGACGAACAAACAATGGAGGTGCTCAAATCTGTGACTGTCTGTGTCAACATTGGGCGATTCAAAGGACAGACAGTGTCAGTGTGGGACCTTCTCAACTCTGAATACATCTCTGACAGCAAAAGAAGAGAGCTAGTGCAAAAATACAGAGATGAGAATACTGAAGTGTTGCAGGAAATAATAACAATTGTAACCACAATCATCAAAGAGACCGAGACACAAGGCAAGAAGTTTGCATTTAAGGGTCTGAGAAAAAGGGTATCTGCCAGTGACCTCTTCCAGTCTCATCTGATAGACAAAAAAACACTTGATGAGCTCCATCAGGGAAAGAAAACAGTCGAAGAAGTTACTGAAATGGACTCTGTCCGCAGATACCTGGAAGGAAGCAATTTCATTGCAGGAGTCCTTATACAGCCAAGCAATGAGAAGATGGGCATCTACCAGGCCATGAGGAAGGGCATCCTGAGGCCAGGAACAGCACTGGTGTTGCTGGAGGCACAGGCTGCCACTGGCTTCGTCATTGACCCAGAGAAAAACAAGAAGTTTTCCGTGGAGGAAGCATTAACTTCAGGTCTAATTGGAATAGAGATTTTTGAAAAGCTGCTCTGTGCAGAAAGAGCTGTGACTGGCTACACAGACCCATACACAAAAGCTCCAATGTCTCTCTTTGAAGCCATGAACCAAGGACTAATTGTGAAGAGCCACGGCATCCGCTTGCTCGAGGCCCAGATCGCCACTGGTGGCATCATTGACCCTGTGCACAGCCATCGTGTCCCTGTGGAGGTGGCCTACCAGCGTGGCTACTTTAATCAGGAGATGAACCAGATCCTCTCCGACCCCACGGATGACACCAAAGGCTTCTTTGACCCCAACACACATGAGAATCTCACCTACATGCAGCTTCTGGAGAGATGTGTCCAAGACTCAGAGACTGGGCTATACATGCTCCAAGTTGTACAGGAAGGGGGAAGATACTTCTACATTGATGAGTCAACAAGACAGTTCTTGCAGTCAAAGCCTGTCAAGGTGAAAGTTGGAAAGTTTAAGGACCAAACAGTTTCCATCTGGGAGATTCTCTGCTCTCATTACATCTCCGAGCAGAAAAGAAAAGACTTAGTAAAACAATATAAATACAAAACCTTAACACTGGAAGACCTTATAGCCCTTATCCTCAAAATAATTGAGGATACAGAACAAAGAACAGAAGCCCTTAAGGTTAAAGGTCTACGGGGGGACGTGTCGATATCAGAACTGTTTAACTCTGAGATACTTGACAAGAAAACTCTGGATCTGCTGCAGGATGGAAGTCTTACTCTCGACAGCCTCACAAAGATGGACAATGTCAGAAGGTACCTGGATGGCACAGGATGCATCGCCGGTGTTCTGCTCCCATTAAAGAAAGAGAAGATGAGCATTTACCAGGCCCTGAAGAGGGGCCTCCTCACCGAGCAGTGTGCACTGGGGCTGCTGGAGGCACAGGCTGCCACTGGTTTTCTCATTGACCCACTGAGAAATAAGAAGTTCTCTGTGGATGATGCCATCTCAGCTGGGCTAGTGGGCAAGGAGTTACATGAGAAGCTCCAGTTAGCAGAGAAAGCTGTGACGGGATATACTGATCCACACACAGGGAAGAAAATATCCCTTTTCCAGGCCATAAGGGAAAAGATAACAACCAAGGAGCATGGTATTCAATTGCTTGAGGCCCAGATTGCCACTGGTGGCATCATTGACCCCGTGCACAGCCACCGCGTTTCTGTAGAAGTGGCCTACCGGAAAGGCTACTTGAATGAAGACATGTTTCTCCGAGTTTCTGATGCAGATCATGGCAGCAAAGGATTTATAGATCCAAATACTAATGAAAAAATGAGTTACAGTCAGCTCCTGCAGAGATGTTCGAAAGACAGAGAAACAGGATTCTACTTGCTGCAAGTTATGGAAAAAGAAGAAGACTATTTCTACATTGATGAGCGCACAAAAAATATACTACTATGCACCATGGTACAAGTGCCTGTTGGAAAATACAAAGGACAGATGTTATCTTTGTGGGAACTGCTCTGTTCTGAATACATCACGGAGGAGAAGAGGAAAGAATTGGTGAAAAAATATAAACATGACTCCCATAATATTCTACAACAAATCATTGATACAATACTGAATATCATTAAAGAAAAAGAGGAGGGACGAAGTGATCTTTGGTTCCAAGGTATTAGACAACAAATAACAGCATCAGAACTTCTCAGTGCACAAATAATCACAAAAGAAACAATGGAAAAGCTGCAGGAAGGAAAAGAGACAGTACAAGATATAGCTCAAAAAGATAGTGTGAGAAGATACCTTGAAGGAACTGGATGTATTGCTGGCGTTCTGGTGCCGTCCAAGGTCGACCCTGCCAAGGTGGAGAAGATGAGCATCTATCAGGCTATGTGGAAAGGCATCCTTAGGCCAGGGACAGCACTGGTGCTGCTGGAGGCGCAGGCTGCGACAGGGTTCATCACTGATCCACTCAAAAACAGGAACCTCTCAGTGGACGAAGCCATCTCCTCGGGGCTGGTGGGCAGCGAGCTACAGAAAAAACTTCTCTGTGCAGAGCGAGCTGTGACAGGCTACAATGACCCAGCAACTGGACAAAAAATCTCCCTCTTCCAGGCCATGAAGAAG